CCCGCCACAACACCTGGCTATTTTTTTTGGTTGTAGCCATTATTGTTGTTTGGTGGGTCTGGGCTGGATTCGAACCCGCCACTTTAGGTGTATGTGGCTGGTGCCTTAGCCGCTTGAGCCACAGGTGCCGAGCCCAAATCATTGAATTCTTGAGACAGCTTTTGAATAGTTTGAAATTCTAAATCCCTCCTTTCCTCCATTCTATTAATCTTATTTGCTATCCAGATTCTGACCTGGATTTCTGTCATCTCAGCCATCTGTTTATGGGTGGGATCTTTAATTGCTTTGGCCCCATCCTTCCTTGGGGGACTTGGTCTACTCTGGTTATTGTGGTTACCAGAGTTTTCCTGCTGATTCTGCCCCATGGTGAATTTGCACTGTTTGGAGACCATCCCCAAACTGTTCAGCCTGTGGCTGCCACTGGAGAAGATGCCAGCTTCCTCTGATTGCCTGGAGAGAGAGGGCATGTCTGTCTGGCAAAGCCTCAGGGTTGTGAGCCTTATTGTTCTAGCTGCTGGGGATGCTGCTCTTCACCTCGGGGTACTGCCATGCCTGTGTGGTTCCCTCTCAACTGACCATCCTCTCACAGTTCTCAGGTCTCCAGGCCTGGGGTGCCAGTAATGCATGGGTCAATCGGTCCTGGGGCGTTTTCCTTCTAGTGGTGGCTATGGGGCAGCAGCCCTGCGGGGGATGCCGGGGTGGATTAGTCCTCAGGGTGTCCCCCTAGGGTGCCCGGGGGTGGTGGCCGAGCTGCAGCAGCCATGCAGGTCAAACATTCCTCTGCGTGCCTTGCTCAGGTGTCTGGGTGCAGCGGTAGCTGCGCAGGGGACACGGAGGTCACAGTCCTTGGCATGCCCGCTTGGATGCCAGGGTGGTGGCCGATCGGCAGCTGCTCAGGGAACACACAGCTCAAGCAGTTCTTTGGCTGCAGGGCTGGACAGGGTGCTTGGTCCCACAGGGGTGTGGGGACGCTATTCTTGGGCCTCCTCTCACTGTCTGTGCAGGCAAGGGGGAAAGGGTGGACTGGGAATTCAAAATGGCAGTGAAACATTAGTTCCACTTTTCTGCCTGCCGAGAGAGTGTTCAGAGTCTCAGCAGGGTCCCTTTAGGGGAGTAGACCCCTCTTTCTGTAGCTCTCACACATGGAGTGAGACAGTAAGTCCTCAGTTCACCACTCGCCTGTAGGAAACTCACAGGAGCAGACAAAGAGAAAAAAACACAACTTTCTTGGGGGAGGGACAGACACCCTTCCTTTGGGATGTATTATATACCTGTAGATTGCTTACTAGGAGTTGTAACTTGCCTCAGCAGAATTGTCCTGCAGATATC